AAGTTGACAGCCAGGGGGCAAATACCAAACAAAACCAGAATGAACACTAATTTATATTAAAGTAATTCAATTATATATTTTAGAACATAAACAATTCTCAGAGTTATGCATGTTTGCTTCAACCTGCAATGATTAACAAGCACTTTTAAGAACACTCTATAATATATGAAGTTCAAGCATTCCACAGGTCATCTGTAATTTATAAATCATTCAGATTTCAAAAGTCAGTTTAGAGAGTTGGAAAATATAAAAATTTAACTACTATATTAAGAGAAAATATTTCAAAAAAGATCTACAGGGCACAACTCTGATGCAGTGTAACAAGTAAATGAAACAAAAATGAGAAGACTAGGCAGTTAAAATCGGGGATTACAAGGAGAGCAGATGATATATGTCCATAAATTAGTCTAAGAAAGATTCAGCCAAATTATATGCCTAATGCATAACATAATGCATGAAATAAATATCCCATGTATATCTAAATTTCCTCTGTTAACTGATATTTTATAAACAAGTAGCAGAATTTTTCCAAATCCAAGCTATAAATCTCAGAACTCACTGAAGGATTTGTGGGTTAACGTGTTTTGTTGTTTTTTATTGTTTTGGGTTTTTTTTTTTAAATCTTTTGTTATAAGCAGAAATCTTTTTTCTTTTTTTTTTTTTTTTGAGATGGAGTTTCACTCATGTTACCCAGGCTGGAGTGCAATGGGGCGATCTCGGCTCACCGTAACTTCCGCCTCCTGGGTTCAGGCAATTCTCCTGCCTCAGCCTCCTAAGTAGCTGGGATTACAGGCACGCACCATCATGCCCAGCTAATTTTTTTTGTATTTTCAGTAGAGACGGGGTTTCACCATGTTGACCAGGATGCTCTCCATCTCTTGACCTCGTGATCCACCCGCCTCAGCCTCTCAAAGTGCTGGGATTACAGGCGTGAGCCACCGCGCCCGGCCTATAAGCAGAAATCTTATGTATTTTTATACATGAAAGCTACATGACTGATATAGTAAACCAAATTCTAAAGATAAATTATTTCACTTAATCTTCAGCCTCCAAAAATATGCATCCTTATATCTACATATAGAGTTTATATCTTTTAGTCAGATTCTTATATTTAAATATTTTTACCAAAAAAAACCCCAAAATATTCAAATGGTTTAAAGAACAGTCTTCCAAAAATACTAAATTGTACAACAAATATTGAAAATGAGCATATTTTCAAGACAAATAGGACTATAATTTATCCACCTGTATAATAAGAGAATTTCAACTTTATTCACCCTTCCTCCCTAATTCATACAAGTAAGCCAAGGCAATAAATATACCAACCACTATTCAGAAGTCAATTTTGGAAATATTCCACATAGAATTCCAGTTTATGTCTCTGATGCAGAGGGAGAAAAGTCATTCTTTCCTTACCCAAGTCACAGGAAAAAAAACAGTAACATATTAAAAGTTTAATTCCAGCAAGTGTGACAAAGGAATTTGTAATTTTTGTGTTTCTATTTAAACATGAAATGTTTCAAATTTCCAACTGGCTTGTAGTTCCCAAGTTGATGCATGACCCTTACTTGCTACAACTACCAGCAAAACGGCTCTGATGAACTTTCTGAATACCATAGTTTCAAAAACAAACAAATCGGCCGGGCGCGGTCGCTCAAGCCTGTAATCCCAGCACTTTGGGAGGCCGAGGCGGGTGGATCACGAGGTCAAGAGATCGAGACCATCCTGGTCAACATGGTGAAACCCCGTCTCTATTAAAAATACAAAAAATTAGCTGGGCATGGTGGTGCGTGCCTGTAATCCCAGCTACTCAGTAAGCTGAGGCAGGAGAATTGCCTGAACCCAGGAGGCGGAGGTTGCGGTGAGCCGAGATCGCGCCATTGCACTCCAGCCTGGGTAACATGAGTGAAACTCCGTCTCAAAAAAAAAAAAAAAAAAACAAATCTAGCTGCAAACTATTAATATATATTTTAACATCACTCTTTAATCCATAATTTGAGAAAATTTTCTAAACTTAAAAATAATAATAATGAGTGATCAGAAAACAAATGTCAACTTTTAAGACAAATGTAGCTATTTCTTCAAAAACTGAAGGGGTTAAATAGGGATGGTTAATAGATATAAAAAACAGAATGAATACGATCTAGTATTTGATAGCACAACAGGGTGACCATAAGCAATATATTTAATTGTACATTTTAAAATAAGAGTATAATTGGATTGTTGTATCACAAAGGGTAGATGCTTGAGGTGATGGATACCTCATTGACTCTAATGTGACTATCATGCATTGTATGCCTATATCAAAATATCTCGTATAACCCATAAACACCTACTATGTACCCATAAAAATTAAAAACTAAACATAAAACTGAACAAGCACCTTGGGAAAATGCAGTACCCTTAAAGACAGGATATGCCCGTAATTTCAAACCGGGATTTCAATATTGTTTTAGATGTTAGCTTTTCATTAAATTTCAGCCATTTGAAAGTTACAAACCTTAGACAAAGTCTTTATTTAGTTTTGTCTTTATTTTTGGCTATTTTTCAAATGGATACTTATAATTACATGAAAAGTTTACAATATATTTAATGTCTAAGTAAAGATAAAAGTTTCTCATACTCCGGCTAAGTTCCATATGTGGAGAATGGTCATTTGCAAACTTTATTTCTAAAATTCTTTTCACTGTCACACAGCAAAACACCAACACTTGATAAATTCAAATTATAAATATAACCTTACTGAATGCTACAAATTGCATGCAATAGCTAAGTCTCTTCAAGTACACAGTAACAGTTCTACAGCCCATGGCACGGAAGATGAGGGTAAAGATCAGTACACTAATAAACTGAGGTCTTTAAATTAAAACTGTTTTTCAGTGGTGATGCTGCACTTAGTTACAAAAACACCTGGTTACACAAGTGTACCTTAGAATTCTGGAAAAAGGTAACCAAAAGCTTTTGATACAGTAGTCCCTCTTAAGAAACTAAACGCACCTGGTATCTAAGAAGAGTATACGAAATGACACAGGTGTAAGCCTAGACACTGCTGGTAGTTATCATGCTGGAGGCAAACACTATGTAGTCCACATCTGCAACCTAATTTTGCTTCAGCATCCCCAGAGACTTCGAAAATATTTCTTTGGGTAGGTTGCAAAACAGTGCTTCCTCTTTTATTCTCATCACCCCCATTACGATACAAAGCAACACAGACAAAATCAAAAGGCCAACTGCAAGGGCTTAAACACACACACAAAGCATCTTCTTTCTAGCTCCCAAATCGGTTATTTATTCCACCTGTTTGTAAATCCACAATTCCACAATAACACAAACTGCCTGCTGAAAGAAAGGAGGGAGGAAAGAAAAGAAAAAGAGGAAAAAGAAAGAAAGAGAAAGAAAGGCAAATTAATGCTTCGGAGTCATTACTCTTCCACCTAGGCTTGGGGGGTGGGGGATGGTACAAAAACAATGGATATTGAGGGGCTGGGGGAAAAAATCGTCTTGCCCCAAAGCCTCTTGTATTAAGAGCCTGGGGGAGTCGAGAGACAGAGACTAGTTTTCCTCTCTCCGTAAAAGCTGGGCTATCACGGGGAGAGGTTGCCATCGGGCATGTTCTGCGAGGCAGTCTCGAAGGGCTACAACTCGCTTCGCCAGGCAACACACCCAGAGCCGATCCAGCACACTTCACTCCGGGATTTTTAGGGAGAGGAGAACCGGAGAGCGCGGTGGGCTCTAGGGAGGGAGCGCCGAGAGACCCCACCCTGTAGGACCGCCGCTGCGCCCGGGCCCTCGCCAACGATTTACACGACCCGGGCACCCCGCGGGCTGGGCCCGGGACCGCCGGGGGCCGAGAAGGGCGAGAGCGTCCGCCGGGCGCCCCCGGCCCGCGCCCTCGCGCCGGCTTGCCCTCGCCCAGGCGCTGTCCGGGCCGCCTGCCGCCACCGCAGGCCCAGCCCCGGCCGCTGTCAGAGCCGGCCGCCTCCCTCTCCGCGCCGGGCTGCGGGCTTCCACGCGAGCCGGTTTCGAGGGCCCCGCAATCACGGAGACAGCACCCAGGAAAGCGGCGGCTGCGGCGGCGCCTCCCAGGGCCCCGGCCCCTCGGGCCTCGCCCCAGCGCCGCCGGCTCGCGCCTGTCAGGGCGCGCGGGGCCTCCCCCTACCGACAACCAGCCTGACTGCCCGACGGACAGGAAAGTAGGCAGGAAGAACCGATCAACACACACCCTCCACCTCATCGGCCCCGGGTTACCGTCAGGAGCCCCGACTCCGCCATCCTCCTCGCTCACCCTCCTTCCTCCTCTTCCTCCTCCTCCTCCTCCTAAGAAGCGACGCTGCCCAACCGCCGCCCCCCGCCCGCCCGCCCCTCCCCCACTCGCCCCGCCCCGCCCCGCCCCGCCCGTCCCTCCACTACTCTCGCTCCGGCCGCCACGCCCCACCCCTCCGGCGTGGGCCCGTCACTCGCTAGGCAAGAAAAATGGGCGGAGCCGGGGCAAGTGAAGCTGCCCAATTAGAGAGGGGCACTGGCGCCAGCTTCCCTGTCTCCGCCCTTTTCCTTTACTCAGCTCCTCTACGCCGTCTCCCGCCCACTGGGCGCCGCTGGCTAGCCGGGCTACAGAGCAAGCCTCCGGCAGGGTAGAGTGACAACTCCCCGACCGGAAGTTACTGTTGAAGCTAAGGTGGCCATAACTGATAATGGCAACAGGAGTTTCCTGGCTTCCTGTTTCCCGGGTGACGTAGATTTTTTTTTTTTTTTTTTTTTCTTCGCTCCTTTCACCGTTACCCGGGGCAACAGCTGAGACGTCTGGGAAGGGATGCATCTGTAAGTAAGCCCAAAGAGGTGCCGTGGGTGACCAGAAATCCCATATTAGACAAGCTAATTCATACTCTGGACTACGGGTCCGGTTTCCTGGCCCTTATTTTACAGAGACGTCTGGTCACTTACCTAGCTGGACCACCGTTTAGAGCTCCGAAAATCCCTCTCCTGCCCGGAAGTTGTATTTGGCACTTCCGAATAGGGTCATGGCGGAAGGGTGTGAATAGCCTCGCCGCCCGTGCCCCAGGGAATGCCCATTCCTGACCTCAGTTGCAAAGTGAGGTGAGTCCCTCGGCCCCCACCAGTGTGGCGGACCCGGGCCGGACAGTCCCTGTGGGACGGAGCGCTGAAATGGCGAGCGGGACTCAGAGCCGCTTCCGTTGGAAGGTGGTTTTCTTTCCGGGCTGGCCTGTCGGCGGTCCGCCCCACCTCCGCCCCCCTGAGGCTCTCTGCGGGGTGAGGCCGGTTTACCGGCCGCCCTAGCCTAGCCAGAGCCAGCCGGGCTGGGACGGCCCCAGCGGGGAATGGGCGCGGACCTCGGGGCGGAGCCCCTAACTCCGGCGAAATAGAGCCCCTGACCACGCCTCCGCAAGTTCCTATTAAGTACTTTCACTCCCAGACCTTTGGAGGGAAGAGAATTCGGGAACTTGAGGAAATCATTATCGACTCTCAGCTGTGAAAGAAAAAGATTAGTCCCCGTTACCAGGGCAAGACCTCAGTCTTTTTCCCCTGCCACTTGCCTTACTGTTCTGATTTTCCCCGCTTTCCGCGTCTCTCCTTTGTAAGCTTTGACTGCGGTTCTGGGTGGAGAATATACTATCCTAATCCTGCAGGTCTACAGTTGATTAAACAACGTGGTGAATATTTGAAACTACTGTATTGCTTTTGTATGACCGTTTACAAAGTTAATCATACATTATCTTGTAATTTCTTCTGTATGCTTGAATCAAGAACTCTTTCATCTTGATAATACCGGGTTGGATGCTTTAAAGCTGCAGCAAAAAGACCAGAACTTTCAGGTAAATGAAAATTGTTAATATCCAGCCAGTCAACAATAAGAATGCAAACTTACCTTCTCTACTTGATTTCTACTTCCTTAGTACTCACACTCTAGCCAGGATGAACTCTCTTGTTTCTTTGCGGTTACTGAAATCTGTTGTAGCACTCTCCTTTTGTGATTCTCTATCTGATTCTGTTATCTGTTATCTGTTATCTGTGGGGATGTGTTTCCAGATTCTCCCCAGCAGGAAGTAATTTCCTCTGAATTTATCTAGCATTTTTTTTTACATCTTTTAGGACAATCAGTATTTTATATAATAGCTGCTTGTGTTTTTAGCTTCACTACCATGTCTACACCTAGATGGAATGGTTTGTATCAGATTCGTCTTCCTGTCATTTTCACCCTGCACATGATTTTATTTTGGTAAATACTTTCTGAAAGTTTGAATATATTGGGTGTCTCTTCGATGCCCAGGACACTTCCAGCTGAGTTTCAGAGACCTTCAATTTATCAGAAATTCAGCAGAGCCTCTGCTTCTCAACCTTTTCTTGCATTTCCCCCATGAAGTCTTTTCTGACACGATTTTTCCCCGGTGTTTTATAATTCAAAGTGTTGATATATTTAAAAGCTGAAAGAATTAAAGAATTCATGTATCCTTCTTCTATATGCAGCAGTTAACATTTTGCCATATATTTTTCATTCCTCCTCACTTTTTCATTGTCATTGAACTATTTGGAAAAAAGTTGCATACACCTGTTGTTAGGCAGACACCACTAAGATTTCCAGCATGAATTTCCTAAGACTTGTGAAGTTCTCCAGCAAAACACATTATCATTATTACAGCTGTTTTGTAATGTTTAAAATCTAGCCCAAGTGCAAATTTTCCTAACTTACCCAGGAATATATTTTATACCTTCTCCTTCCCAGTCCTGCAAAAAATAAAAATCAAGATCCAATCAAAATTTATATATTGTGTGTGGGTATTGTAATTCTTTAGCTTTAATTTAGTAGAGAGCCCCCATCATCCTCCCACCCACCCCTGTGACATTGGCATTATGAAGAGTTCAAGCCATTAGTCTTTTTGGAAATGGGCCCCCTTTTTTTTCATGTAAACAAGAAGTTAGTCTAGAGGCTTAAGTGGAACTTTTTTTTTTTTTGAGGATACGTCACAGTATTCATACTTTTCCAGTCATGATTAAGCCTTCTCAAAGGCAACTATATGCACCTTTGCTGTGAGTTGCTGGTTAAATCCATCACCCTTCTCAGCATACTTACCCGCCTCTGGTGTCCTACAAAGTAGTGAGTAGCATTTAATCCTGTGTGTAGAGTTACGTGTTAGTGCCTTGGATCGGCAACACAGACTAACTACCTTTAAAAAAGTGTTGCTGCTGCTTTGCCTATTCTTGGAGCTGATGCAATGTATTTCTGCAGTAATGTGTACTGATGTCAGCATAGTTTCATGAGTTTCAACTCCTGGCACCCTGCAGACGTTGTTGAAAGATGTGTGGGCCCTGTAATTCAAATACAGATGAATCTTGATGTTATCAAAGCAAATACCAAGGCAACTGTTGGCCATCTGGTTACATTCCAATTTAGGCGATGTTATTTTTCTCCCTGAAATTCTCTTGCAAGTCTTAATTGGTCCTGGTGTTTTTGTGATAGCTTTTTGGTAGCATTAAGTAGAGTCTATTAAAAATTGCAAAATCAAGATTATACTTGACACTTAGTACATGAGATACATTCCCTGCCCAATGAATAGAGAAGTGTTTGTGGAATTTACTTCATAATCACAAGAGGAAAACTCTCAAGACTGCCAACCTCATATACTCCTCCTAGCCTAGACTTATATTTGATCATGAAAGATAAGTGAAAGGCAAAAACTACATTTAGGGAGCAGAAGAAAATGCTCTGAGAGGGCAAATCTCTTAGATTGGTGTAGAATGTTTTTAGTCATCATATTGAAAATACATAATGCATCCCATTAGTTGCTTCCTTTGTGTACAAGAGAATTTGCTTGTGTGAGAATACTCTAGATTTAAGTAAGGCAAAATAATATACCAATTAAGATCATAGGTTTTAGCGTCAGACCTGAGTTTCAGGAATAAGACTATTCAATTAGCTGGATGATCTTACACAGCCAATTCAGTCTATTATCTATTAAATGAGGTCTTGGCCAGGCATGGTAACTCACACCTAGAATCCTGGCACTTTGCAAGGCCAAGGCAGGTGGATCACTTGAAGTCTGGAGTTTGAGACCAGCCTGGCCAACCTGGCGAAATGCTGTTTGTACCAAAAACACAAAAATTAGCCTGGTGTGGTGGTGTACTTCTGTAGTCCCAGCTACTCAGAAGTCTGAGGCACCAGAATCGCTTGAGTCTGGGAGGCAGAGGTTGCAGTGAGCCAAGATCGCAGCACTGCACTCCAACCTGGGCAACAGAGCAAGACCTTGTCTCAAAAAAGAAAAAAAATAAACAAATTTTTTTTTTAATGGAGTCTTAAAACTGCTAAGGATTGTTGTACAGAATTAATTCAAATATGTATACAGTGCCTTACCTTGGTTTGTAGCACATGGAATGCAGTGTATGGTGATAAATAACTTCTAAAGCAGTCCAAATATTGACATCGAATATTTAGCGAGTAAAGGAATGAATCTTAAGACAGTAGTTCTCTAAGTTTAACGTAGGGAACTTAATTAAAAGTTAGGGTCCAACTGCCGTGACTCATGCCTGTAATCCTAACACTTGGGGAGGCTGAGGAGGACGGATCACTTGAGCCCAGGAGTTTGAGACCAGCCTGGGCAATATGGCGAAACCCTGTCTCAAAAAATACAAAATATTAGTGGAGCAGGGTAGCATGTGCCTGTAGTCCCAGCTACTTGGGAGGCTGAGATAGGAGAATTACTTGAGCCCGGAAGCTCAAGGCTGTGGTGAGCAATGATCACATGACTGCACTGTAGTCTGAGCAACAGAGCAAGACCCTGTCTCAAGAAAATAAATAAGAAAAAAAGTATTTTTATTTAACAATTCTAATTTCTGGAGAACTCCAGAAAAATCTATATTTTTAATAATTGTACAGGGAGTTTTGATGCAGATGATCTGGGGACTGGGCTTTGAGAGGCACTACGTAAAGTATAAAGCAACTTTTCGCTTTCCTTGCGTATTGTTGAAATAGCTAACTAAATATTTCAGGAGCTGAGCAAACACTTTTTTAAAAAGGTTAATAGCCAGCATTTTTGGGACTACTGCCTAGTACTGAATTTTGAAATAAGAAAGCTTATTAGAAAAAGACATTTTGCATGAGTAGGATGTATCATTACTAACTTAATAGTAGTGTCTGCTACTGGATTATCTCCGAGCCACTGGCATCATCCAGGTTCACCCAAGAACAATTCCCATTCTTAGTCCTAGGCACATTTCAGAAGCTAGACACCACACATTTTATTAACATGAGCTTGAATTAATTAGCTAAATTGAACACATTGCAACATTTTTTTTACCAGCAGATGCCAGATAGCAAAGCAGAATAGAATCTACTGTAGTCTCCAATATATGACATATGATGTTACTTGGCATCTCCAGATAAACATTATCAATCCAAATTAAGCATTCTGCTAGCATGTGGGCAGTTGCTTGAGTAAGAGTGAGCATTACTACTTTATGTTTGCTGAAAAACGCATTCTTTCTGGGCTCCCCTTTTCACCTTTTTCTCATTTACGTTCTGAAATCTAGTATGTTTTTGAAAATTTATCTTTCAGTTAACCACAAGTCTTGGATAAGACAAAAGATAAAAATTTTGTTATTCTCCCATTCTCACAACCGACACTAGGCAGGTTGAATTTTGTATAAAGGAGCTAACTTAATAAATATTCACAAAAGAAATACTCTTTACATACAGTATCCTTTGCAGCCCATGGTCATGACTGCTCCTGACTACTACTTCAGTTCCCAGAGATTGTATTTTTGCATCTCAATGTCCATTAATGATAAAATTAGACAGCTTGACCTATGTTCACAGTGACTCTATGTTTTACTGTAGTTGCAAAGTCAAATGCCTACAATGATTGGGCAAGTAAGGTAAGAGGAAACAATAAGCAGTAGTAAGGACTAGAGAATTCCAGAGCATATGCTTACCTAAGTTAAGCATCACTTCCCAGCCCTAGCCAAATTTCGTCGTGTTGAAATGTGGGCTTGATGTTGCCAGATTTGTCAAATAGAGGTAAAATTTGGATTTTGTGTGAAATGTCCTGATTTTTAAACATTGGCTAAATACTTTTCAAATATCTGTAAACCAACAAATATTTAAGTGGATAGGATCAAGGGTTACCAGTTTATGACATGTTATTTCTTAACATGAAAACATGAGTGGTGTTTTTGTTGAGAATCTCAAAATGCTTCAGAAGTGTTTTCTTTTTGCCATATGTCAAGTGCATTGGTCAGGGTTCAGCAACAAGTCACCTGTCATCTCCATTAGACATTCAACATAGATTCTTACATACAATGAGCTTCTGTTCCCTTGGTTACAATTTTAAAGATTTCAACCTTTGCTGCCCTTTTATAAGTTTGTTCACATTTTCTCAACTTGGAGTTCTATTATGAAATAAGTTTTCTCTATTATACTTTTTAAAACATTTAAGAACACAATTTGGCAGCACATGCTGCTTCAAAAGTAAGTGAAACAGGTTTTTAAAGAAAAGCACCTTTAAATAGATCATGCTGTGTTATAGGTACCATGATATTTATGAAGATTCAAAGATTTTTAGACAGAAGATTCCTTTTGGTAATCTAGAACAAGTCTTTATTATAACAATATGAAAATTAGTCCTGGGATAATAAATGTCATACTGTATTTCTAAGGACTTTTACATCTATTTATTGCTAACACCTTACAACCCAGTACAGATAATGAACATATTTTGTATGAGAAAACCAAGCCTCTGATTGGCTAAGAAAGGTATTCAAGGTCACACAGCTAGTTAGTGGTGTGGCCAGAGTAGAACCATGTACCCCATAAAAGTATAAA